GCAAAAGCAAAAATCGGTCAAAAGAAAAAAAAATAAACAAAACACAAGACAGATAACGAAAGACTGGGAATGCGAACCCAAACAAAAACCGCGAATTTTGTAAGGTGCCCCGGAAGGGAACACAGATCCTGCTCCACATGTGCCACCCGTCGTGTTGCTGATGAAAGTACAAACCCGGTGATAAGTCTAATTCGGTAGGTCACATTCGAGGAAAAAGGACGGAATTGTGGTCACGATAACTGGAACATATTCGTCGTCACATGTGACTCAGCTATTCGATCAACCAAGTAAAAATTTCGAAGAGATGATAAATTAATCTTGGCTCTAACAGTGATACTATAAGTTTGGTTTTCAATCGCAGTTGTCATACTATGTAATTTAGAATTTATGATATTTTAAATAAAATAAATTATCATACTGCATCGTAGTGTAAGTCATATGCATACCAAGATATTCCTTCTAAATAAACAAATTTTTTTCTGAGATTTTTATCCAAGGGTATCCAAACATGCCGAGAGTACTGTTAATCTAAAGGTTTTGCATTTATTTCTTGTCTTTTCTGGATTCCAATTTTTTCGGATTTGTCTTAGTTCTTTTATTTCAAATAGATTTTTGAACGTACATTGGTAAATAAAGGCAACAGTAGTATACCGCTGTTCGAAATTCATAAATCGATTGAGAAAAAAAAACAAATCTGGGTTACAAACTAAAACTGAGTACGTAGCTTCAAAAGTGGATACATCAATTGACATTTAATTTGTCAAAACTTATTCCTTTCGAAAGACATATTAAGTTGTAAAGTAGTTAAGTGTGTAAGCCACGGTTGCCGTTTATTTTTACATTTTATATAGATATTTTTTAAAGTATTCAGTTTTAACTTTTCATAATAATAGTAATAATCCCAATTCAACCCCCTAACTTGGAGAACCTTATACATTATTTCCTATTCATTCTATTTTCTTATCAATTAGAATCTCCGTCCAATTATCCACATTCAAATCTGTTTGAATATGGTACACACATATTTCAGTTTATAAAGGAAACAGTACGTAGCTTCAAAAGTGGATACATCAATTGACATTTAATTTGTCAAAAATTTTTCCTTTCGAAAGACATATTAAGTTGTAAAGTAGTTAAGTGTGTACAATTAAACTTTGAAATATTTAGTATATAATTATTATTTTACGATATCATTTGCATTAAGGTTTTCCGAAAACATAGACATATTATAATCAATTCATATAGACATTAAAAATAAACTCATTGGATTTGCAAAAAGGATAATCTTTACTGAATCAAATTATTATTCTGTACATACGAACATTTTTCTTGGTTTCTTATTTCCCCCCTCCGTCGTGTTAATGCTGTTTAAATCCGATAATAAGTCGTAATTATTGATAGTAATGCTTTGAACAGCGGCGGATTAGAATATATTGCCTGTCTTTTCCTAAGACAAAAGAAATGATCAGCTTTCTTTTAGCTTTTAACAAGATAAGTTAAATCAATATTAACTTCTCTTTCATGAGGATAATTAGTGTAAAAACATCATTAAACAATAACATGAGCATTTAAAAGGTCGTCTGTATAGAACTGTAAATTTCATGTCAAGCCTTCGAATTGCAAATCAACAATGCAAATCAAGGCAAAAATACAGCAAACCCCGCATAACAACTGAAGTTAAAGTCGTGTGTTCTGGTCGGTAGGGGCAGTTTCTGCACCAGTAGTAACACTCGTTGTGCTGCTTAAGAACATAAAAAATAAGTGAACATCTATGAGTGAAACAGATAATCAAATTACGACGTGTCCGTTAGTGTCCACTAGTGTTCAGAGCAATAACTGTCCCAAGGACATAGTCAAGTAGCTACGTCATAAGCAGTTAAACTTGAAAAATCAAGGAAATGTAAGCTATGGAATATCATAACATTTGCTAAATACATACTTTAGTTTTTTTTGGATATTGTTAGCAAAACATGGAAATTTAGCAGTGTAAAACTTAAGTGCTTTACATTTAGTTTCGACCTTATAACCATTCTTTGGTGAGAAAAAACGTTACAAAATGCAATGATTAAGCATTGTTATGATATAATTGACTGGAAGTGTACCTTTAAACTAATGAAATTCACACATTTATTTCTTTATGAAAAGAAACAGAGGAATGCAAGATCTCCATAAAGCATAGCAGATAAAAAGGTTATAGGTAGGACAGAAATTTACATCGCAAGAGGAAATATTAGTGATAACAGTGAATATCAAAAAATAAACGTAAAGAATGAATATTAACAGTATAGACCCTCTCTTTGCAAAAGAGACAGAAAATTCAAGTGCGCTTTTCTTTTTGAAGGACAAGTGAGAAAGGATGGTTAACTTTAAGAAAGAAGACCGAAAGGTTGAGAAAGTTGGTTTGAGGTGGAGGGCAAGAAAGTTGATGATAGGTAAAGTACAGACAAAGAATACAAAAGGGATTTTCAAACTCATAAGTCGAAGCCATGACAAAACCAAAAAACAAAAAGTAGAGAAGACAAACAAAAGTACAAAACACACAAAATAGAAAATTAAAGACTGAGAGATCAATAAAATTGAGAATGGAAATGGGGAATGTGTCAAAGAGACAACAACCCGACCATAGAGCAGAAAACAGCCGAATTTATATTTGTGTCAAGAGTCAAGCGGATAATAAAGGTGTTATGAAAACACAGAATAACAGGGAAAGACATGACAGATCAAGGATACAGGTATTTGTCGGATCGACTTTACACGTAATGAAGGAAAGTGAGTTTTAACTGATGAAAAAGCACTCAAGGGCAATAAGGCTGCAGATGTTTAAAGACATCTGACAAAAACTGAATTACAGCTGGAAACAAAGAATAAGACGAGAATAGAAAAAAATTGCTGAACAAAATTCTATTAGAATATAAATTCTAATGAATTTGCAGATTTTTTTAAGATTAATTGTCGCCGGAGAGAAAACAGACTTATGCAAATAGACAAATCCTTTGAGAGGGAGGAATTGTTAGTAGGGTTTGCCATTTATTGTTAAATTATGAACATGGTTTGACTTGATTCATCAAAATAAACCTTTTGGTTTGAAAATTGATTTTGGTATATTATGTATATCAATAGTCTACAATTTAAATACTTCAGGATGGACGCCACAAATTCACTAGATTTTTTTATTTCTGACAATGAATATCCTTTGACACAATAGCTTATTTTTCCTGTTTTATAAGCACAAGGAAGTACGTACTTATAAAAAAGGAACTATGTATTTAGAAATGACAAAATACAATTATTGTTTCAAATTGTGTTTACATCGGGGAAAAACACAAAAATAACAGATGTAATATTATAGCACTTGTATATGCTGACAAAAGCAAAATTTGTATTTTTCTATGAAAAAAATAACGCTGATAAAACGGCTCTGAGACAGCAAACCAAATATTTGAATACAAAATATCAATAAGTCAACGTTGTCTTCAAATAAATGTCAATAACAATGAATTATTGCGAACCCAATGATACTTTTCCACAGATTCACCAGCAAGTTACCTGTCGATTTAAACTTTTGTAAGTTCTTTTGTCCCATCTATTAAATACAATAACTATTGTTCTCTGTGTAGTTTATTTGATGAGACCTTTAAATTTCTTCCAAGAGAAATCTATCACTCACTGATTAATTTACCTGAACAAAAAATTGAACTGTCAATAATGAAAATACACGTACAAATACTAAATAAGGACTCAGTAAACTGCATGTGGTGATGTATTTATTCAATATCAATAATTCATTTTTAATAGTTTCAATATAAACACTGATTCAAAAATTAAAAGTTGATTTCTGAACAAATTTTTTATATTTTTCCTATTAAAATTTGCTTTTTTTTGTGTGTTTGACAAATAAAAACTTAAAAATTATTGTGTTTAATTTAAGGTCTTGATAAATGTATTCTATAACTGAACAACAACAAAAACATGCAAATTCATTGGAACAATACTAAAAATTTTGTCAGAAATAAACATATTATAATTAAATCAGTGTTTATAATGAATTGATTGAAAATATATTATTGATATTGATTAAATACAATATTGCACGCAGTTTATACGAGTTTATACAACTATTTCCCCCCAAAAAGAAGATAATATTTTGGTCAGGTAAATTAATCAATGAGTGATAGATTTCTCCTAGAAGAAATTTAAAGGTGCCAGTGAAAAAACTACACAGAGAACAATAGCTATTGTATTTATTCAATAGGACAAGAGAATAGACAAACGTTTAAATACCCTGGTCAAGAGCAGACGACTCTGTGGAAAACTTTCATTTGGTTCGTAATAAAGGACCACATACAACAATATTTTGTATTAGAATGTCTATTTATAGTTTTATCCATGAACATCATCTGAACTTAAACTAAGATTAAGCTTGATATAAACTCCTTTTATCCTATATGTTAGCCATTGTTCTAATCGATTATTTTTCTAGACTTCTAAACATTCTTTAGACAAATCATTTATCATTTGATTTCACAAATAATTTCAAGAAGTCAATAATGCATATCTGAGCATCATATTGTTATGTGTGTTTCGTCCTCACTACAATGAATATCTCCGAGTCAGTGAAATGGTCACATATAAAACGACGACATATCAATATGTATATATTTGTCATATATCAACCTATGAACCATCAATATATAACTTAGGAAAGAGTCCAACTTGTTACTTTATTCTGGACCTCACACATGTCATAGAGGCTACAAAATTTTTATTGTAAAATTGTTCTACATCATGAAATTAAGCAATGATGTGTTATCCAATACTATCTAGGTAGTATAAAGTAAACAAATACACAAATGGAACCCCAATGAGATTTATGGAACTAAGCAGAATGTAGTTCTCAAATTTAATTTAACTGACCTAGAATGATTTACAAGTACTTCCTTAATATGAACTATGTGACCGCAACATTTTAGTAGATCATATTTATACATATGATAATTGAGGTTAGTCGGAAGTCATCATGAAGTGTGTGTCTCTGGAAAATGGTTAAATCGTTCAGTACAATTAAACAAACTTTATTGTTTGAAAATAATTTCAACACATATGGAAGAAAATTTAAGCACTGCGTATAAAAGTTACGGCTTTGTTAAGATCATTAAAAAGGAAGACAATTTAAAGAAGAAACATCGTCATATTTCAACATGGGTGATCAGGTTGAGCTTGTAAATATTCTAGAAACGGAAGACTTTCAGAGCGTGGATAATATCAAAACTAATGTGTGGAATCAGACACTTGCTAAAATCCACAAGGCTGTTAGGAATAGAGATAAATTAATTTTAGTCTTTATAGTAGTGCAAGTGATTTGTATTTCTCTGACAGTTGCATATTTGAATGGTAAGCATATTTGAATCTCTGAACCTTTTTTCAGTTAGGAAAACATTCTATTACTGACAATATACACAAGCAAAAACTTATGGGTTTTAGATGATATGGGTTTTAGATGATACACTTATTTACTTAAATCTTACCTAAAGATATTGTAATTGTGACGTGAGAAACATTTCAACATCGTACTATCAAGGAAAAAAAAAAGAAAAAAAAAAGGAAAGTGTGGGTCGATTTTGTTACTGAAACAGGAACCAAGCGACACATAATACATCTAGAGGTTGATGTATTGTCATCAAACTCAAATTTGTTCCGAGTCTAAAAAGAAGTTGTGAACAAAGTTAGCAGAGACTATTATAGATTTGTTCAATTGCAAAAAATAAAAAAAACAAGAAAAAAAAAAAAAACCAAAAACAAAGCCACCGAAAAAATCCAACAAAACTCCCCGAAACACCCCATCCCCCCCCCCCCCCCCCCCCCAAAAAAAAGACAAAAAAGGACTTCCAATACCCTTCTACAGGTAACAAAATACGCAGCGGAAAACAATAGCCCCGTCATATCAGAATGGAAACAACACAGATATAGAATTAAAACAATGATCACAATGCTCTTACATTGCGTAAGACTACCACAAGTATAAATATATAACTATTAACTAACAAGTTTAATTATATGTTAGAATCAATACAATATCAGAGCAAACAGTGAATAATGGATGAAAATCTCATCTAATAAAAACAATTTTTGCGGTCACGCCCGCACATAAAACAATAAAAACTTTAAAGTCAGAGTACTGAGTACTTCAAACAAAACCCAGACTTTAAAGTTATAAAGACATTTCAGAGATTCTAGGGTGAAGTGTCAGTACGTCATCAATCATGGGCCATGCAGTTGGATAAGAAATGATAGACATGCAAACAGAGGATGTGGGTTGAATAAATGTAACCGAAATCCAACGACAAAATAACCCCCATGAGTTTTATAAATGTCACCATACGGTCTTTAAAATAGTTCTTTCTAATACCTATGATATTTGTTTCTATTTCCCAAATTTATTAATTCAAAATTAGCTACATACATTCAGCGGGAAAAAATTACTTGCTCAAAAAGAACGCGAACATGTCTATTAGCTATGAATGGGACTAACTAGTATAATACTGACACGCTGTGTCGGATGATTAATCAATACTATGACAGATAGTAGGAGTACATGCTACCTTGCCAGGACTCATCATTTTTACTCCGTACCGACCATTTTTGAAGTTTTTTTTCTACATGATGCGTGTTGGAGAGAAAACAGCAAATACAAATTAAGAGGTCTGTAGTTAAATTTAAAGCCACATACCATTGCATCAGGCGATCACCGTACTACTAGAGCGAAGCAGTTGATTCTATATATATCTAACCTTTTATGCTAATACTATTTGATAATTAATTGAACATCAGATATTTTTTTCAGCTTATATTGAAAAGATTGCAAGACTAGAAACGCAGATACAACAATTGACTTTTAATACTTCGAAATTAGCAAGTGTAGATAGACTAGTTCAGTTATCAAGTGAGTTCATGTAGAATTGAAGAGTTTTGAGCCTTGATACTACCACACGGTTAACCTAAGATTTTTTTCAGGAAATGTATGACAAAACAAACTATGATACAGATGTCCGTGTGCATGTCACGTGATTATTGAACAACTATAATCACAATGAATCAGGTTAAGTTCGAGACCACAATTTTGCACAGCCAAGGACAGAGCTAGTTTTATGGTTAATTGGTCAATAATACTTACAATAGATATGGTAAATGGTGTAAATTACCATTGTCTGTAGTATCCAGGAAAAAATATATCATGTAGTTATTGCAAATCAATATGAATTCTTAATACGAATATACCTCTCACTGCATGTTCTTTTATATTGTGGGGATGTGTAATATTCACAATAGAATTGACCATTCATTTCATTTCTTTTACCTATATTGCTTCTTACAAACTGATTAGAATATTTGACGTATGTTTAAGTTTTCGGTTTTGTATGTTTGCTACTTTGCATTATTTGGTTGATTCAGTAACAAAATATCTCCATACTAATTATTCTACGTGGTTGATAAAGCGTAAATATATCCGCGGAATGCTTTGTATATATGAGTTTCTTCGAAATGAAAATTGTACATGAATTTGTGCAACTTGATTTTAGCAACACTATAAAGTAAAATGAGTTTGATGTACTGACTTCTATGGTACTTTCTTGTATGCCCAATAGTAACCACAATCCGCTCCTCTTTTTGTCGATTGTATCTTTCTCCTCTCTTTCTTTTTTATAATTCACCCTTATTGAAATAAAACACGGAATGGATAAGATATATATATGTGTAACTTCACAACATGTTTATGTGTATGTCGAGACTCAGGAACTTCGATAGTTGTTGTCTTTTAATATGTATTAATTATTCCTGTTTGATTGCCAAATTTGCAATTGGCGGCTGGTCTTGCATAGTGTATGGTTATTTGTAAAACATTGTTGCAGGATCTTGGCGATTCTGCATTTACAAATAGTATATCCACTTGTATAATGCTGAAGCATGTGAATTCACCATATCTATTTTATTAGGTCTGGATTAAATACTGTCTCATTACCGTCACTTTTTAATTATATAGTTGGTCTTCCTTTTGTTTTACTTCGTTGATGAAATGTAATTTATTAAAAGGTAACAGAGGATTGGAAGCGCTATCTAAAGTTGAAAAGGTCAACAGAGATGAAGCTGGTTCTAATCTTAAAACAGGTCCGTTGGGTACAAAATGCAACGCTGGCGATAAGGGAGAGAAAGGTGAGAGAGGTGATTATGGACTAAGAGGTTTAACTGGCGTATCGGGCGACAAAGGCGAAATAGGAGACAAAGGTTCAAGTGGAGACAAGGGACAAATAGGAGATAAAGGTCCACTTGGAGAAAAGGGACCAACTGGAATGAAAGGTCAAAAAGGTGAAAGAGGACCAGTTGGAGATAAAGGCCAAATAGGTGATAAAGGTCAAGCCGGAAACAAAGGTGTAAATGGGACAAAAGGCCCAGACGGAGACAAAGGAGAATTTGGAGTTAAAGGTCGAGAAGGAGATAAGGGTTACAGGGGCAAAAAGGGCTCGACAGGCATAGTTGGTTCTACTGGAAACAAAGGTTTGCCTGGTGAAAATGGATTGACAGGTGAAAAAGGACCTCAGGGAGAAACTGGACTACCTGGCTTAAAAGGGAAACATGGCGAAAAGGGTACCAATGGTGACAAGGGCACGATTGGAAATGAGGGTCCTAGTGGCGATAATGGTCAAAAAGGTACAAGTATATAAAATTCATTAAAAGTCAAGCTAACTTGAAATGCTAAGTGTATTAATGCATTAAATTAGAAAGTACTGTAAATATTCATGTATAATTTGATTAGAGAAACGATTGACTTAGGTTTTCATATTGTTGAAATAAAGAGCCAATAGGTGTAAACATAAAAGATATTTGAACTATTATTTAAGTATTATAATAAAAAAACCGCACTCCAACTTAAGGCAAATTCAAAAAGGGGAAGTTCATAAAAAATCAAGCGCTATCCATTAACGGAACAAATCAAAAACAACTGTCATATTACTGAGTTGGTACATGCATCACAGATTGCTTGATTGATTGATAGTTGCTTAACGTCCAGTGGCAAATATTTCATGCATGTTCAGGACGAGAACAAATTAACAATAAATGCAAAAGGTAGGTCCTATAATAGAGGTCGTCCCGGATGAAGGTCGGAGATATTTAGACTGCCACTGGAAAATGATGGTACATTGGATAGGGACCGAAATTGTGCCTTGCAACAGGCCACTTACAGATCCCTCATAGAGTTGTTACAAAGGTTCTTAACGTGCAGAGAGCGTGGCACTCTATCTACACGAGACATCGGATTTAACGTCCCCATTCTGACCGGACGTGGCTACTGCAGTGACCATATTCATATTCCCCAGTCACCCTTAGGGCATACATCACAGAAATACAACACAACTAACTAAAACAGTCAAACAAACATGCAAATTAATCTAACAAAGACGCCAACAAAAAAAGGTGTATAAGATAGTAAATCTTATCATAGATGCCAGGATTAAAATTTTGTAAGCCAAGATATTCTATTCAAATTTGAAAAAAACACGTGGAGGAGATGGAGAAAAAGGAAGTCCTGGAGAATCAGGTCCAGTATTGGTAACTCGTAATTTCAAAATCCAGGTAGTTAATGATTATAACCACCATCTTGAATACTCGTCGTCAAAAGTTGAAGGGCTATGCACAATTTACATATACAAACCTGAGGAAGATTATTAATTTATTTAAGATACTAGGTTTTCAATTCTCTACTCTAGACATGCATAAGACTCATCAGTGGCGCTCAATTAAATTCAGTAGAACAGATAAGTAACGAAGTTGAAAAGCATTGACAACCCCAAAAAACTTAAAACAGTTGTATAAACTTTGGCTACGGTAAATTTAATTAAAAAAAAACAAAAAAAAAAAACAAACCAACAACATAAACGATAAACTCAATAAACTTAAAATAATACTGTTGGTTTGAAAAACTTTTTAATTCATATGATTATTAACTTGATATCGTTTTACTCATAACACAGTAAAATCATACAAGATTACTAAGATGTCTTTGCTTTGACTGTGTGTTAAATTGCTGCCTTACCGACTTTAAGTCAACACATTAATTGTCTTGTGTTGAAACATCACGGCTTGTCATTTTGACATGACTGTTACCATAAGGTAGCCTCTGAAAAGCCATTTAACTAATATAATACAATTCGACAAAAAAGCAGTTAGATCAGAGGAAACAACTCTTTCGAAGAAACCATTGGTTTGTTATTGTCAGGTTAATGGTCAGATTTTACCAAATAAGCCTGCCTTATTCGAATTATGTAAAAAATAAATCCTCTCATTTTTCTTGATTATGCCTATTTTCAAATATTACCACTGGTATACTGTGAACATACTCTGAATATGAATAACAGTTTGGTCAGTGTATACATACTATAGTTAAAATACAGATAGTAATTGTTTTGTTTTGCAGTTCAGAAAAAGTCATGTGGTTCTGGATGGGAACAGTTTATACAAAGCTGTTATTACATTGAAATAAGACCAACGAAGACATGGAATGAGGCAAAAGTAAGATTTATAAGACTTATGTTTCTTACAATTAAAATAGGTTTGTAAATACGACGACAAACACCAATACAAAAATATATCGCGGGTATTTAAATTCGCCTTCAACAGGAACGCTCAAAACCCGACTTGGAAATTAGACCTTCACACGTGAAAAGTTAAATCACAAAAATACTGAACGCCGAGGAAAATTCAAAACGGAAAGTCCCTAATCAAATGGCAAAATCAAAAGCTCAAACACATCAAACGAATGTGAAAAGCAATATGACCAAAAGGCACCTTAAAATGTTACTTCTTTATATGTTTCTTGGTACATTACAGTCTATTAGTTCATTTGCTATTTTGTTTTTTATCAATCGCCTAATGAGATTTGTCATATGCTCCAACTGGAATAAATATTATTGCTTGTTTCTTGGTTCTTGTATACTGTATTATCTTATATGCCATTATCTGAATGAAATTTGTACTTTATTTTCAAGATGGACTGTCGCATTAAAGGAAGCAGACTTGTGAAAATAGACAACGCCTTTGAAAATAGCTTTTTGAAATCCTTTGCAAAAGGTATACTAAGTCGTTAGTCACCACTTCGGTGTTTTCATGTATATCTATTATATAGTCATTTTTATAAATTTACTGTTTGCAAAAGTATGAATTACTCTAAATACTAAGGATTTTTTTATCCCAGACATAAAACCTTAGCCGTATTTGGCAGGTTTAGAACTTTTGGTCCTCAATGCTCTTCAACTTTGTACTTGTTTTGGCTTTCGTACTTTTTTTTATCTGAGCGTCACTGGTTAGTCTTGTGTGGACGAAAATCGCGTCTTGCGTATTAAATTTTAAACCTGGTACCTTTTGTTAGCTATTGTTCGTATGTTTCCCTGTCCTATATGTTCTCCCATTTATTTGTATGGTAGTCCTGTCATGTACTGTTTTCATTTTAATGTTATAACAGTCTCCGGGACAAGTTTGCACTTCCGCTGAGTGCAAAAGTTGTCACCTTAATTTTTGGAGTTAAGTCAAAATGAAGTTGATAACTTGGTTGGTATTGGTTCCCTGATATTTGTCCTAAAAAATTTTGGCTCTAGCACCACTGTTGAAAAAGTTATGCCCCCTTTTTCAACAATTTTCTCAGAGGAAAAGTAGTTTTCCTCAAGGGAAATCAAATTTCCCTAAAGGAAAAAGATTTTTCCTTAAGGGAAATTGTATTTTCCTCAAGGTAAAAGATTTCCCTTAAAGAATTTGCGGCTTCAAATTTTCCTTTGAGGAAATTCTATTTCCTCTGAGGAAATTTGCGGCTTCAAATTTTCCTCTGTGGAAATACTTTTTCCTGTGAGGAAATTTGCAGCTTCAAATTTTCCTTTGAGGAAATATTGTTTTCCTGTGAGGAAATTTTGTCAACTGCAATTTCCTTTGAGGAAATTTTTAACAAACACTTTTCCTTGAGGGAAAATTCAATACCACAAATTTCCTCTAAGGAAAACATTGTTCTCCAAATTTCCTCTAAGGAAATTTCTGTACATCAACTTTTCCTGTAGGAAATGTTTCCCCTATTTTTACTCATTGTAAATTTCTTCACTATACAAACAGTATGAACATAATGTTTACAAGACTTAATAAATAATACAAATGATATTTAAAACTTTAATAAATTTTTGACTCAAAATTATCATGACATACAAAAACAATACAGCGAGTCTGACTGTTTAGGTCAAGGTTTTGTACATACTTTATATGACTTTAACTTTGATTTATAAAATATTTTTTGTAGCAAAGTATTCTGTTTTCTTTTTTATTGTTTCAATGGTATACATTGATAAGCAACCAATTTGAATGTCATACCATTTGTGGTGTTCTTAAGAATGCGTTCATATTTCAAGTATTTGCAAATTAAATAATAAAATAAACACTTTCTTTGTAAATTTTAATTTTCCTCTGTTTCAGCTGCTGTGTACAGTTATTCAATCCACTACGTAAAAGTTCAATGCATAAATTATTCCATTCACTAAACAATTTCCTTCAATTTTAGAGAAAACATTTTTGCAATTTGTTCTTCGAAGATCTTCTTCAGTATATTTGATAATGAGTGGATAAAGCTGGTGTTCCTTTCAACAACAAAATACAATTTATTTCTTCATTTCTCCCTTCTTTTGACGAATATATATAATATGTTGTTGCATTTATACAATTGTGTGTTTCTGCATCTATGATAGAACTCCATTTTGTTTAAAGCCATTATCATGTGATTATGATGAAATTTCCTATTTCTTTTTTGCAGGAAAGCACACATTCCAATTTACATTAATCCAATTAGTGCACCATGTAGATAGATATCAACTTTCAGTTTCCTCTTCAGTATTGACCTATTGATCATGAAAACCAAGATGTCTGATCACCTATAAAAACACAAAATAAACAAATAAAATGTTATAAATGGAGAGAGAAACAGCAATAAAAAAGCTTATTTTGTCATGTTTATGAACATATTAAGAATATTTCCTTTCTTACTTGTGAGTTCTCTTAATTCCGTGCTTTTTGTCTATGGGTTTTTATATTGGTTGATTTTGTGCATTTTATCAATCTTTAGAGTTGAGGCAATTGCAACGGTTATTTTACAGTTTGTTCTTTATATGTTGAGCTGTTAAACCACTGTCCAAAGTTAAGGTAGGGTTGAGTGCTCACAAACCTGTTTTTTTTTTACATGTATTAGTTTTTTTATTTATTTTAACTAGCTGTCAGTAACTGTGAGTACTAACAGATCTTTGTGGCTTTCGATTAAGGGAAAGGTATAAATTTTCTGCTTAGTCCGGACTGTTTATTGTTTTGCAGGAAATCTACCGGTATGTCATTTGTTGTCTGGTGAAGAGTTGTCTTATTGGCAATCATGCCACATCTTCTTATTTTTATATAACCTTGCCATATTCTTATTGTGCCTGTCCCAAGATCGGAGCCTGTAGTTTATTCTGACACTAAAATTTAGTGGTTGTTGTTGTTTCATATCTGTCATATTCATTTTTCTTAATTTGTTTTGTTATAAACTAGGCAATTAGTTCTACAGTTGGGATTATTTAAATTTTTCATCTTCTGAGGGCCTTTTATAGCTGACTACTTTGACAAAAGGGTATGGATTTTCTCATTCTTGAAGGCGGTCACTGGCCTATTATTGCTTTCTTAGAGTCGTGATCAATAGTTTTCATATTTAATATACCACATCTTTTTATTTTTATAATAATCATGATAATCATCTTTCACGGGCAATAACTTTTATAAAAGTGGCCTTATGAGTCTTATCGAGCGTCACTGATGAGTGTTTTGTAGACGAAACGCGCGTCTGGCGTAAATACAAAATTTAATCCTGGTATCTATGATGAGTTTACTTACCATTTAGATTTTGTTGACTTCTGCAAATTTAAAATTGCCTATCATTTCTGCTGTTTATAATTTCTCTGTATCTTCTATAGTTCTTGTCCTACACATAAGAAGAGTAAAAATTATTATTTAATGACATCTTGCATCAATAATTATTTTGCTGTTTAATGTATATATCAATGCGTGTTTCATAAAAAGCAGTACCATGAGTGCTTGATAAGCTTGTTGCCCTTTTAGCTTGGATTTATGTTTTAAATGAATTTTAATGATCAACTACATTATAGAAAAACTGTGAGCACTGCGCAACTAAGACACCCTCCCCCCTAAAAAAACAAAACTACAGGCTCTTTTGTGTCGCTCACCTGACTCTATTTGGGTTTTTGAAATCATATAAAAAAGATAAAAATCATAACAGATACTTTAATAATGATTGAGACCATATTTGGTTTAATATTATCCTACTCCGCTGGCGGCCATCGTGGATGATGGATCGGCTACAGAGTAACAACACTTGGTCAACACCCCATAAGGAACAGTCATGCTATGTTTGGTTTCATTCCATTCAGTGGTTCTCTAAAAGAATACATGTGTATGTATTTCCGATAGGGTCCTATCTTAAACTAAGTCCCCCGCTGCCGGCCATCTTGGATGATAGATCGGCAACAAAGTAACAACTCTTGGTCAGCACCTCATAAGGAACATTCATGCCATGTTTGATTCCATTCCATTCAGTGGTTCTCTAGAAAAGTTCAAAATGTAAAAAGTTAACAACGGCGACGGACGACGACGGACGCCAAGTGATGAAAAAAACTCACTTGGCCTTTCAAGCCAGAAGAGCTAAAAAAGGACATGCACACAGAGTGGTATTCATTGAAACAAAACATGAAAATAATTTGGCTCCATTTAGGGATATCGCAAGTGTATATAAGTTTAAGGCAGTGATTTTTTAACAAATACAATTCTAAAACCTTCCAAAATGTGAAAATGGACAATTTTAAACAATTTTCCAACAACTAAAATTCCATAACTCTGCATCTTATATAAAAATAAATAGGGGATGATACTCCGGCTTGCATATCATATAAAGTTATAAAGGAAGATAACTGAAGAACGGTAAAATTTATACTACTAAAATTTGAACTTGATCTGATTTTGTGGTAAAAAGTATTGCGTTAAAGTTTAATAAAATTTGGTTGAGGCAAACTTAATTTAGAGGACGGAAACAAAAAATTCATCATTTTTCCATTTGTAAAGGACATAACTCTAGAACAGTAAAAGTGACACCACCAAAATTCAAACTGTTTTTTGTGGTAATAAGCATTGTGTGCAAATTTCATAACATTTGGTTAAGGCAAACAAAGTTAAAGTTAGAGAGCGGGAAACCAAAAAATCAGCAATTTTTCCATTTGTAAAGGGGCATAACTCTAAAACGGTAACACTGACACCACCAAAATTCACACTTGATCTGAGTATTGTGGTAATAAGCTTTTGTAAAAGTTTTATAACATTTGGTTGAGGCAATCTAAATTAGAGAACAAAAACCAACTTTCATGACTGGGACAGACGGACTAACGGTCAAGGGTTAAACTTAATGCCCCCTTCCACTATGGGTCATAAAAATGAAAAGGGAGTTTAAGTTAAGATATAAAAACAATTCACCAAAGTTTCATAAAAAATGGTGAAAGCATTCTTGAGACTATCCAAAGTCCCAATATACAACAAAAACTTAAATCAGAAATTTTTAAAAATTGAAAGGGAAATTATCATGATTATGATAATTGGCAATATTAATAAATGCATGCAATAATTTCTGAAATTTACAGTAAATAGTCTTTTAACCCCACCATATTTTTGCACCTGTCCCAAGTCAGGAGCCTATGGCATTTGTCAGTTTTGTATGATTTTTAATTTTAGTTTCTATTATATATTTCGGAGTTTAGTATGACGTCCATTATCACTGAACTAGTATACATTTTTGTTTAGGAGCCAGCTGAAGCACGCCTCAGGTTGTGGGATTTTCTCGCTGCATTGAAGTCACATTGGTGACCTTCGACTGTTATCTGCTCTTTGCTCGGGATGTTGTCTCTCTGACACATTCCCCATTTCTATTTTCAATTTTATTTTGTTGTCTCTCTGACACATTCCCCATTTCTATTTTCAATTTTATTTTAAATTCTATTATAAATGTTAGGCTT